TAATGATTAGTGTGATATTCTTACTGGAGTAGAGTAGATCACCTTTTATTAACTATTTAAATCAAGAGGACCAAGATTAGATATGATTAGCAAGAGTGTTGTGAATAGTTCACTATCCGGACTCCCTTCAAGTGCTAGTGAAGGTTGTCCTAAGATATTTAATAATTCGTTTTTTATTTTATTTCTTTAATTTTCGTTTATTTTTTAGAATGAACATTTTCGTAACCGTATTAAGCATTCAAAATTATTGTATAAGAAATATAAACCATAACTTTATTAATCGCTTCCGTATTTAATTTATGAATTTATTTCTCTTTAAGTTTCGGACTTCTGCAATGATAATTATTTTATATTTTAATTAAAAAAAATTTTTATAAATTTTTATTTAGATAAAATGATATTTAAATTTTTTACGTAATTATAAAAAATTGTTCTATAATTATGCGAAGGTTGATTATTGAAAGGGAATATAGTTGACATTCAAATTTTTTAACTAAAAAAATAGAATTGTGAAAGAATTTAATTAGATAGTGAATATAATTACGGTATATATAATTTTTAATTTTTTAAAATAAAACACCTAGAAATAAGAAATGTTGAAAAGCACCACATTATACTTTTAGTCCAATTAAATTGTTTATAATAAATTTCGTATGAAAATTAAAATAATTTAATCCCATGTTTTATTAATTCGTTATGTTCTATTACAACACGACACAAATTTTTATTTTACATTAAAATGATTAGATCGTGAGATTATTACTTTAATCCTTTTTTGTAAACAAACAGTGACTTATTTCCCTACAACAAGCTTGCCATCTGAAAAGGCAAACATAATTTTTAGTTGGCTTAAAAATCCAAACATTTTTTTAATAAATAAAAAGTTAAGTTAATTTTTTTAGTTTGTTACAATTAATTATGTAAATATATTCGTTATATAAAATATTATTTTTAATTTTTAATAATGTTTGAATTTGGAACATTTAAGCAGAATACAAAAAGATATTTGAATGGTATCTCTCAGGGATCTCAGCTGAATCATTCAGTATGTATGCAAGATTTACTACACTTCTCATGTAAATATATGCGGCGAAAGTAGCAATTCCCAATCTGCATCATCATTTCAACTTCATTGTTATTAAAAGACACAAGTTAAGCAATCCATCATACACAGAGGAGGCATATTCCTTCACTGATTATCGTTCAATTTCACTGCCTTCAGACATATTAGCATTTTATCGAATATTAATATTGAAAATAAATGTAAAAAATTATAATTTATTTTATTTATTAATTTAAATTTAAATATAATTTATTTTTATTTATATTTAGAATATATTTATTTTTTTAACAAAATTATGTTATTACTTAAATTTTATTTTTTATGAGATTTAATTTATAATTTATCTTTTAAATTATGATAAATTATTTTTAAAAAATTTGAATTTGATGTAAAACTATTTAAAAATACTTTAAATTCTTAAATGCGGAGGGAATGAAATCAATAAAAAATTAACTTTTTTTAATATTAAAAAAATTCCAACAAATAGTATCAGAGCTTTGTTGGTCAGGGTTATGTGAGGAAAAAAAAAAATAATATAGAGAGAAGAGTAACTGAGTAAAAAAAAAAAACCATGAAATGAGTCTTCATTGCGAATATGTCAAACAAATCTTCATCAACATCAAAAATGAAAAATTTTCACCATGCCGAATATACAAGAAAAACAATCATGATGAAAAAAAATTGTTGGTATAAAAATAAATAACTATATTTTTGTTGTAAAAGATTTGAATATATATAAGACAGAAATTGTAGTTTGAAGAATGAACAAACAAATTTTGCTCAAGAAAAAAAAATCTTTTTTGAAAATAAGAGAGAAGTATTCCAAAAAATTTTAATGATAAGTGAATCAAATAATTGAAAATTGATGAGAAGTGCATCAATAACCGGAAGTTGGTGAGGAGTGTATCAACAATTGAAGAGAAGTGTTTCAAAATATGAAGATCAAATAAAAAAATATTAGAGAGAAGTACTCCAACAAAATAAATTTAATGATTATAATTTTTACATTAAAAAAATTTGTTGAAGATAAATGTCAAAATTATAATTTATTTTATTTATTAGTTTGAATTCAAATAAAATTTATTTTTAGTTAGATTTAAAATATATTTATTTTTTTAAAAAAATAATTTTATTAGTTGATATTTATCTTTTAGAAGATTTAATTTATATTTATTTTTTATATTATGATATATTATTTTTTAAAAATTTAAATTCGATATAAACTTATTTAAAAACATTTTAAATTATTAAATGTCAAAAAAGTGAAATCAATGAAAATTTAAGTTTTTTTCATCCTAATAAAATCCCAACAACTAGCAATGTATAATATTACACAAACAACATATAAATGACAAAGGCCACAAAATTGAAACGACATAAATTTCATGCCCAAGCTTCCCTACCTCTTTCCCGAGTATTTACAATCCCCAGATCTCAAGTCTTCGTAGCTCGTTTGCTCAACTGAAATACAGGATGCCTGCACAGCCTCCTCATTCCTTTTCTCAAACTTAGCCAATCCCCACCATCATATCCACCTCTACATCTGTTTTCCAAGGATCCCATTTCACTCAGCGTACAACTGCTACCTAAAACCAACTCAATTTCTTCTTCTTCATCACTCTTCTTCTGGAATCCCCATAGCTTTTCCTTACTATTGGACTCCAACCTATTAAATGTACTGACCCTCAAGAACTTATTGATGCCAGGTCTCTCGAGGGCAGAAGCATTCATAGTTGGTTCACAAGATCCTCCTATTTTTAGTTTGGATGAGTGGGGGTCACTTTCATTGCTAGGAGAATCCGAGCAAGATATGAGCAACTTAGGTTTGGCAGCTGCTTCCTCTCTTTCTCTTAGGTTCTTCAAGATCAGTGTCTTGAGGAAGTTCATTACTTGCACAGCGTGAATCAGTGCAGTCAAAGGATCTGCCATCTATGTTAAATAGAGGTAACTATTAATTGGATAATAACCATAATATTACCACTTTCAATCAAAGGGAATTATCTTGTTGGATGCTGTGATAAAGAAAAACCAGTTAAAATTAAGTTAAAATCATTTACTTTCCAGGTAAATTCTCCACTCTTGGCCTATTCACTCGCCATGCATGAATGACAAAAACTGGTAAATATCCATAGAAGTAACATGTTAATATATAGATAATAGATTTTTATCAGCTTTAAGCTTTTGAGATTCTTTTTGAGTAATAAACTTCTAGGTTGATTGATGAAAAAACAAACTATTTTATATATTATTAGAGTCAGACATGTAGAATTCGAGTTTTAGCGCCGTCCTATTTCTGTTAATTAAATTTCAACGCAAGATGGATTTGATTCATGATTTCAATCTAGCAGGTTTTTGTATTTTAATGTATTAATAATATGTTAGAATTTTTCTTCATATATATATATACATGCTTACATGATTTTGTAAAGCAAATAACATTGAGGATATGTTAACTAACCTGAGTCATGTTAGGCGCAAAAACCATAGCAATATTCCGGGCATTCATCTTGTTGTACTGTTCATGCTGCACCACATCTGACATTAAGTTGATAGCCCAGTCAAGTAGTGCAGCTTCTGTTGAAGGAAGTAATGTAACAAGTTGAGCGCAGTCATCTTCTGTGTTGCAGTGCATAACCTGTTCCGGTGTGAGGGAATCAAGTACCCCAGTTGGAAGTTCTCTAAACCATGCCTATAGAGAATACATACACACTGATCAATCCAAAAAAGGAAAGTTAAATGGAAGGGGAACAGAGTAAAAGAGGCAAATTATATAAAATTGGAGAGAAGTAAAACAGTTATTTTTGGCTAACCAGCAAGAACACGAAACTAGAATGTTCTACATTCTGGCTAAACTTCCAAATTCCAAGTTCAATTACAGGATATCCTCTTTTTACTATTTTACTGAGTTTAGCTAATAAAATGTCCAGTACTAGTACCTTTATCAAACCAGCCAAACAATGGACATCGATTCCAAGTGGCAATAGACCTCTGTTTAGCTGGCTTCGAACATACTCTTCTTGGCTGTTCTCAGGATTTATTCTAAAAATTCCTTCTGCCTTCAAGACACACAAGTAGGAATGAATCAAATACTTCAAATTTTGATTGAAAGAAATCGGAAAAACTTTTAAAGTAATCAAGAATAGAAGAACGGGCATACTTTAAGGCCTCCTTCTGCATACAATCGCTTTTGCATCATAAGAAGGATAGTAGGCACACTGTTTTCTCTGCCATCGTAAGAACACTGCATGGACTTTGCAGCCACTCCAAATACACTTGCACTAGACAACGGACATCAGGTCAGATGAAGAAACGGATAAGTTATCCACAAAATAGCACAGAAGACTAAAAAGGAACAGAGATCATGAAAGGGGAAAACAATGAACCAAAAAATAAGATCTAGCAAATCCTGTATGCGTAATAAAGACATATAAACCTCGAGATCTCTCACTAATAATCTGCTATTTTCAACATTTGATGCATATAATTGAGAAAAAGTGAAAAAATAATATGAATCCTTGATCATGTAAAGTCCATTCTTCCAAAGCTTGTTCAATAATCTTCAACTTCTTGAAGAGGAAGCAAACCAAGTAGCACTAAGAGATGCTTGCTTCTATGTTAATGATCATTGGCAATCGGATGAAAATGTTAACCAGCGGCTGCATAATCAAGATCTAAAGAGGAAAACAAAAGAGTTTGGTGGACAAGTAGGAATGGCTCAAGTACAAAAACAACTTTAATCAGGAGCCTTAATGCAAAAATAAATGCCTAGATCACTTTGGTTGCAATATCATCATTTAACTGATAACCACCACCATAATCTAGTAGTGTGGTTTGAAATATACAACTAAATTGTTTCTCCTTTGAGAAAAATTAGATGACCCACTTAAGATAAACGCCTCCATTGTTCTTTACCTGGTAAACAAAGACTTGAAGAGTACAAATCTAACCTTAAGAACTGAAAATATAATTAAAGAAAATTGCGTAATTATGAAAATAATGATAATATTTGATGTCTTTGTCCAAAAATTGGCCTATTGCTTTTGGATTTTCACTGACAACAGTGATGATAGATAGCTACATTTCAAAGTAATGGTCCCGTCAACTTATCAACCAAATAGTAAACATGAAGCAGAGCAAGCACAAATTCAATTAGGATGACATTTCCACTGCATGTTTTGGTTTAACTAATAAACATTTTCCAGCCGTACAAAATTTTAATGTTTATCTTCCTGTTTTCACTTCCCTTAACAAATAATTCTCTGAGATGTTCCTTAATTCTCATGTCAATTATGCAAATAGTTAATACCTAAGCAGAGAGGAGTTAAAGAAACCAAACCTGGCACTGGGAACTTTCCTGGGAACCTCAGGCTCCAGCTCAGTGGGAAGACCCAGGAACCCATTGAACCGGTCGAAGGTCACGTGCGAAACGTGCCTTACCTCAGTCGGCCACCCAATATCCATGGAGGAAACATCTTCCGGCTCCACGCTGCACGTAACCAGCGACTTCCTCAGAGCCGCAACCAAGACATCCAGGAACGGGTTATGACCCGACCCAGAATTCCTGCGAGCTTTCCCTGCTCCAAACTTCGGATCCGGGCTAATAAACGGGGTCGATATCGGGTTTTTGGACATGTCATCAGCATTTCTGTCTCCCTTGTCCTCTTCTTCAGTGTCTTCCTTTTCCTTTTCTTCTTCTTCTTCTTCGTCGTCGTTTTTGTAATTGTGAAAGAAGGGAGTCGGTGGAGCCGCGTTGAAGTCAGATACTCCGACGAGTCCGCAAGACTTGGATCGAAAGAGTCTCGTCATTAGTTATTTAACTGGTAGTAATCCTTGTTGTTAAGTAGAATTTAGGAGTGTGATAACGATAAGGAAGCTATTTGACGCTTGACACTGTGACAAAAGAAGACGGAGACAGAGAGACATTGAATATAAAATATAATAATGAGAAGGGTGGAGCGGGTATAAATATTGTAGGTAGAAAAAGGTGAGGTGGGTTTGTTTGGTGATGGAAAGAAGAAGAAGAAGAAGAAGAAGAAGAAGAAGAGATTGCTTGAAGTTGAGGAATGAAGTGGGGTGATGAAGACATTTGGTTTTCTTTGGATTTTGTGAGATTAGAAAAAGGGTTGTGTTTTTGTCAGTTCGTGACAGGGGAAGAGAAGGAAGAAAGAAAGTTAGTTGACAGCGAGACGTGAGTGTGTGCGTGTATTATTTTCTTTTCTGGGTAAACAAACAAGTAGTATTTCTAAATAGGGAAGTAATTGTATTTGCTATGTCTTCTTCCGACGATGATTAACTTTTTTTTTAGAAAAGAAACTTAATCTGATATTCGTATTTTTCAAACGTTATATATATGGGGTTTGCATTTTTTTTATTATCAAATTATGTTTAATTTAAAGTCAAAACAATTATATAATTTGTATGTATTCTGTCAAGGTGACTTTAATATATTAATTTTTTTTTTATATTTTATTATTGGTAAATTTCTCATTATACATTGATGAGTTGATTTTGTCTTAACTTTTAAGAAATATGAAGGTTGAATCATTGAAATTATTTATTAAGCACATTAATCAATATATCACGTATATACACAAACACAAATGCAGATTATATTGGTAGTTTGTAGAAAAAATAAATGCGTAATAATTAGACTTGTAATAATGATAGATATTGCTTAGCCGAAAAAGAAGAACAGATGGTTCTTGCTTGAGTTGAAATTTAATGCACAAAGTAAGGGGCGTTACCAAAAGCATCTAAGAACTGCTTTCTGTAAAGTAAAACTTTTATTGAATTATTAACATTGCTGTAAATTTTAGATCAGATCTTTATTAATGCCCTAGAAAGATTCACGATTCATTTGAAAATATATATATATATATATGTATATGTATATACCAATTAAAAATATCAAATAATATAAGTGCACTAAAAGTCTGAATCATCTGATTTCTTAGACTTTCAATGATTTTAGTTGCAGTATTCTTGGGATAATTTATTATTCCATATTAATGTAAAATAATTTTTTAACCTACTTATGTTAAGTTATTTAAAATGAAAGTTTAAGGTTATAGGATTTTTCAAATGTATAATTTTTTATTTATGATACCAATTTTACAAGGCTTGCATATTACCTTTCATCCCAATAAAACTTTTTCTATTTTTACTAAAGAAATAAAATATATGTATACAAGCGTGTTAATAAATAATCTTTATTTTAAAAAACAAATACACTAAATAAACTGATTTTTATGACTCAAATACTTGTCTAGTTTTTATTCTAATATATATATATATATATATGTATATACATTTAGTTAAAAAATTATTTAACAAAAAAAAAAACAAATAGTAAAAATCAATAGAACTAAAATATTAAAATATTATTTTTAGTAATTTTTTTAAAAAATTATTTTGTCTGTAATTTAATTCTTTTACAAACAGACAATTTTATAAATAAATATATACATAAACAAAGTTATAATTAAAAAAAATATTTCATCTATCAAATGGAGCGTAATTTTCTTTTAGATTCTTTTAAGTAAAAGAAAAAAAAAACAAATATTGAAAATTATAATGGATAAATTAATGCAATTTTTTTTTCCCTATAATTAACTATTTCTTGGACAACCAGAAGATCCTGTCATTTAAAAAAAAAAAAAAAACTCTGTTTTGGGCAGGGACAGTGAGAGTGGTCAAGTTTGGATTTATATGTGGAGTGTCAGAAATTGGAGGAGGAGTGTGTGGGTGTTTTTACTTTCAAGTCACATGGGCACATGGGAATTGTTCCTTTCTTGTTCTT